GCAGCATTTGGCCAAATTACCCTGAAGTGCTGATGGGAAGAATCATTTCTCATTAGCCATAAATGCAAATGTATTTATTCTTGTCAGCCTGAGAGTCTGCTGGGCTCTCAATAGATATCACCCAGACTTTAAAGAGGTATTTCTGTGGCCTTCATCCAAAAGAATGAGGGCCGTAGAGGTAATACAGTGTGTAGGACACTTACCATACATGCATCCAACTTGGGTTTGATCCCCAGGCAATATAAGGTTTCCTGAGTCCACCAGGAGTGATCACTGAGTACATAGCCAGGAGTAAAACTGAACACCACTGGGTATGGCCCCCAGACCAAAAAAGACAGAGAGAAAGAGAGATAGAGGGGGGTGGGGGAGATCCAAAAGCTGTGGTGAGTTTTCAGAGCAAAGTATTCACAGTGCACACAGTTCAGTTCATAAAGATTCTTGATTAAGAAACCACATTGCTTCCATTTGGCTACTTTGCTCCTGCCCCAGCCCTCTAGCTACATTGTTTGGTTAGCTTACTTAAAACCCTCTGCTGGACCAATAAAATCATGGACTCCTTTTGCCATTTCTGCTTACCTCTATTTCTTTACCTATGTAGTGTATCCTTCACTGCCATCTTGACCCACTCTATTCATGTTATTTTAATAACCATATATTTATTTTTTCCTATCATCTCAATTTATTCTCTGGTGTTCTTTATTTAAGCCCAGTTGAGTTCCTCTTACTTATACAAAAGGTCTACTGAAATATTTTTTAAAAATTAACTTTTGTTTAGGTATCTTTAATTTTTGAAGGCTAATTTTGCTATATATAAAATTCTTGGTTGATAATGTTTTCTTTTAACATTTTTAAATTTCATTGCTTTTAAAACTTAGCCATGTTTTTACTTGGGAATTGACAATTTATTGTGCATACTTGCACACAATAAGGTACTTCTCTCGCTGCTTTCAAGATATTTTTCTATCTTTGAATTTTAGTTGTCTGATTGTATGTTTTGGAATAGATTGCTTTCAGTTAATTTTATTTGGAGTTCATTGAATATCTATGTATTTGAAGTAAAACAGATTCTGTCACCTACTCAGAATTTTTCATTTCTTTTTTGTCTTTTTTATTTAGAGACTTGATTTGAGCATACTTGTGGTTTCTGTTTGTTGTACATCATCAATTATGTTAACTTGTCCTTTAGTGATTTTGCTGAGATTTTTTACAAAGTAGTGGAGCATAATAGGAGCATAAAAGAACTTCCCCTATATTTATAATGCTTCCATATATCACAGGCCCTCTTTATGCTTAAGCCAGGTGGTTTTCTATCCTATCTTTCTGATCTGATTTCAAAGAACCGAAAGTCAGAACAACACCCACAGTGATTCAATAAATAAATCAATTAATTAAAAAAAAAGAAAGTCAAAACAAATTTAAGTCTTAATTTCTATTCTTATCTTTTTATAATCTTATGGAAAAATTAAAAGCCAGTAGCTGTATCTTCTAAATGACTTGATACTGTTATATTTGATCACTTGATCACTTGACATCCCATTACTCATTGATTTGCTCAAGCAGGCACCAGTAATGTCTCCATTTGTCCTTGTTGCGTGCTGTTGTATTTAATAACTGAATTTCAGTTCTTTACCTTAAACTAATTTTAAAATATTTGTTATAAATATAAATTTAGAACTAACCTTGTGTTAACTGAACATTATTTTTTATTATTGCAAATTTATTATTTGAGGGTCTCAGCATACAGAGATTACCTAAAAACTATAAAAAATGAAAATATCAAAATTATTTTAAAAGTCCTCTAAAATGGGAGCTGGAGCAATAGCACAGTGGTATGGCTTTTGCCTTGCATGTGGCCGACCCAGGTTCAATTCCCAGCATCCCTTATGCTCCCCTGAACACCACCAGGAGTAATTCCTGAGTGCAAAGCCAGGAGTAACCCCTGCACATTGCCAGGTGTGACGCAAAAAAGCAAAAAATAAAACAAAACAAACAAAAAAAGTCCCAAAAGTCCTCTGAAATATTCTTTGTCATAGTAGCAAGGGGTATTTGCCTTGCACATGGCCAACCCGGGTTGGATTCCTCCACCCCTCTCAGAGAGCCCAGCAAGCTACCGAGAGTATCCTGCCCCCATGGCAGAGTCTGGCAAGCTCCCCATGGCGTATTCGATATGCCAAACACAGTAACAAGAAGTCTCACAATGGAGACATTACTGGTGCCTGCTCGAGCAAATCGACAAACAACAGGAGGACAGTGCATAGTAGCTAAGGAAAACAATTAGCTACATAAATAATATAAAATGACTTAAAATAGGTAAGAATCTCAACCTAGTCACTGATTAATAACAATTTTTTCTGTTTACTGTTATTTTTCCTTATTTTGTACCTGTTACATAAAAGAGTAATGGTATATAATAGGAGCTTAATTATATTTAAATAATTAAACCTATTTTTGTGATTATATGTTTATAGGATATGTTTTATGTATATCATATAGTGATTTTTATTCTTGTATTTCTAACTTGTGACTATTATAAGGTATTGATAGCTTAGCGTTAAAACAAGAAATTTAATTTTAGGAAAAGGAAGAGGAATATATGTTATACACTTAAAAGTTTATTATATTTAAAATGATATTCTGTTCCTTTCAACCTTATAATACATTTCACTTTTTTTCGGAACTCAATTTGGGTTTTATTCTATGCCAGTTCCCAGTCTGATGCAGATAAAAATACATAAGTTGTTTAGTTTTTTAAAACTGGGATTTATAATGGAAATGCTGACAAGTCCTTAATACAGATGCCAGTGGAATGAAGTGCCTTTACCTCTAGTAAATGCTGATGTGGAGATTTAAACTATATGAGGAATCTATAAAGTTTCCCAAGAGAGTTTTATCATATTATTCATTAAACTCAGCATGTGGTACAGTAATTTCTTATGCTCCCATTTTTCTTTTCTTTTCTCTGCACTAGATTATTATTTATCTTTGAGCAATGTGAAACAGAGAAACGAAGTTTAAAAGAGGCATAGCTTGATGTAAAACTATCTTATGACAGTGAAGTTGGATATCAGACTCACAATTGAAAAACTGTCTTATTACTCAGCAATAAATATTAGAAGAATAATATATAATTTAGTTACAATCAATAAATATTTTTAAATGCCACAGTTCTCAAATGTTATGAAAACATACTTCTTATATATCTGAATATACTTTTTAACTTCACAGGGATCAATGATTTTTTTTTTTGCTAACAACAGTTGTATTGTTAGCTTATAAGTAAAGAAAATCAAAATAAGAGGTAGAATGCTTACTGGGAAAACCTAAATTAATGGAATATAAATGGTACATTTTTTAGATTTTTCTTCCTCTGCTTTTGTTCCTTATGCATATACATTCCTCACAATCTCATATGCTGTTAAATAATCCTTAACTGTACATACTGATGTCTTAGGCGGTATCACCCCAAATTTTAAATGTATCTTTATCATGGGGATGTTCATAGTGGGGTTTACCTAGTATGGGAAACTACTTACCTTCTACTCAAATATTGCACATATATATCTGAGTTGTGGAGAGAGTGTGCTCCTGGCAAAACTTGTCTTGGCATGTGCTGGTGGCAATCAGTTATGCTTCGGGCCACCAGGTTTAAGGTGGCTTCAGGAGACCATGCACTACAACAAATCACAATGTAGAATTCAGATTTGTTAGAAATTTACTTTCTCTTTTGATTTATCTTTACCAGTCATTTTTATAGGCGCTGAAATAAATATTAATGAACTGAATTTGCAATCTGTGCTCATGTATTTATATCCTAGCCCAGGTAAAAAACACACATGCACCAATTGAAATTAAATCATTAATAATTAGATTAGAATAAACATTATGCTGAAAATAAAGATAAGAAAAGGGATAAAAGGGATATAAAATTTATGCATAGAGGACTTTACCTTTTTTAAGAGGAGAATTTGAGCAGTGCCTTAAATGAAATGGTTGTCTGAAAGGATTTGAGAACCATTTTATAGTCAGAAAGAAATGCGCAAATTGCAAAGAACAAGACTCAGGAGCAAGCTTGGCAAGGTTAGGAAGGAAAGAACATATATCTGGAATACAATGAGAGGAATGAGAATCTAAGTCAGAACAGAAAGTGGACAGAACTTTGAAGTTTTAGGTATGCAGTTTTGCTTTTGCTCTGATATTTTTTTTCACAAATTTTGAAAGTTAATACTACCCACAGACAAACGGACTTACCTCTCTACCTCACATCTGACTGTTAGTAAGCAAGCCATAGAGCCTCAAAGTGAAAGTACCTCAAGAACTTCCCAAAGCATGGCTTGTTAGCAAGGGGGCTACACTGTGTGCTGTACTCCCTTGCTAACCCGTAGCCAATCAGATGACTTCCTGCCAGTCCCTTGGAGCACACTGTTATCAGCTGGGATTGAGGCAACAATATTGTCTTAAACCCATACTAGCATGAATTTTCCAGATAATCAACATTTAGGTCTGTATGGCTGAGATAGTAAAGTGGTGGCAGAATAGTAATAACCATTGCTTTTTTCATTTTATTCACTAGAATCCACTAGAAGAATCTATTAGATATTTATTACATGGTACAATTCATTGTGTTATTGCAGTCATGGTAAAATGAGCCCTGTGTATTATTTATTATATACATATTTATTTATTATATACATATGTGTATATTTATTTATTATATACATATTTATTATATACAACAATTCTATACATAATGATGCAATATGTAACATTATTGCGTAGTTATGGTGGTATTATTATAACTATTTTCTTGTTAATCACAAGCATTCCTGGAGTAACTTGACTTCTCTCAAACTATACTAACAGATGTTACAAAAATTAAAAGTGATCATTGAATTTAACAAATATGAAATTTCCTATCATCTAAGGAAAGCTATAATCTGTATAACAAATTCATAATTAACTGATTATCTCCTTCATTTGTGTTCCAATTTTTGTGCTTCCAGGAAGAACCCTATGTCTTGTTTAAGAAGTCTGACAAACCTCTCTATGGGAATGATCGATTTGAAGGCTATTGCATTGACCTCCTTAGAGAATTATCTACAATACTTGGCTTTACGTATGAAATTAGACTTGTGGAGGATGGGAAATATGGAGCTCAGGATGATGCCAATGGACAATGGAATGGAATGGTCCGTGAATTAATAGATCATGTAAGTCCCCTTTTTCATCATTCATTTGTTTGGGTAGATTGCTAAAAGATTTCCTCTTTTTATGGAGATAAAGGGGAAAAATAATCCTCACTTCAAGCCATATTCTCTTTACTAGTTATATTAAAGCATTGCTGTCACTGTCACTGTCCTCCCGTTGTTCATCGATTTGCTCAAGCGGGCCCAGTAACGTCTCCATTGTGAGACTTGTTACTGTGTTTGGCATACTGAATACATCACGGATAGCTTGCCAGGCTTTGCCGTGCAAGTGAGATACTCTTGGTAGCTTGGCAGGCTCTCCGAGAGGGGCGGAGGAATTGAACCCAGGTCGGCCTGGTCGGCTGTGTGCAAGGCAAACACCCTACCCGCTGTGCTATAGCTCCAGCCCATATTAAAGCATATGCTATACTTTATATTTTTCTTATGTAAAAAGAAACAAAGAGGTCTGCATATTCATCTTAAAATGCTATCACGGGATTATTATTTTGAAATAAGAAAACTTAATTCCTAAATTGGAATATGATTTCTGAATTATGTTCCTTTACATTTTTATAATGCTGACTTCCTAATTAATAAAGAAAATCAGTAATGCAAACTCTAAATTTTATACCAAAATCTTCCTGTAATAATAAGAGTATTTATCTCTATTGTAATGAAAAAATACATTGAAAAAGGATATGAGAATTAATAAAACAAAACAAGAATATTAAGCATTTAAAAAGGAGGATAGTTGTATGTTTTATTGAATAATCTATATAAATAATCTATTCTTGGCCAGAGAAATATTATTTCATAATTTATCAGTTGGTAGTATTACTTATCTTTCAAATAAGCTCCTGGGTTTAAATGTCATAATATTATATTGGCTGTATTCCATAGCATTAAATTTATTTTTCTATCTTTTGTAATATTGAAATATATAATGGTTATAAGAAATCTATAGCATAATGAATACATTTTCATTTAGAAACATTCTGGGCAGTACCATAAATACAAATTCCTACCATTTCATATAGCAAGTATAGGCAATTTTTAAATGTTGGAAATCCTTCACTGGTATAAATTTCAAGCTTAGTATCAATAATAAGGAGTGGCTGGAGTGCTAGTACAGTGATTAGTGTTCTTGCAGTTGATCCAGCTTTCATCCCAGGTTTCCCATATGGTCCCTCAAGCATCTTCAGGTATAATTCCCAAGTGCAGAACCAGAAGTAACTCCTAAGCATTGCCCAGTGAGGCCCCAGAACAAAAACAAACAACAAAAAAACAAAAATAGTAAGGAAATTAAACATTATCTAGATTTATCTACTTATTATCTATATAGAAAGAGATCCTATATTCTAGTTCAAAGAATAACAAAAATAAGCTATTATTATTTGTTGTGTTTTTATTATTTGTGTTGTTTACCAAAGAGTGTGTGGGAGGGGACACACTCCAAGATACTAAGTCTGGTAGTATGGGCTTAAAGGTTTAAAGTTTATTATTCTTCAGCTCCTCAAGATATTTCTTTTAGTTATTTGGAAATACTTAGTATAATTCTAAAGTTTTGATTTTATCAATAATGTCACACTGATTCTAATCAAATGGGACATTTACCATGCAAAATTGTAAAGTCCATTAGAATTAATGTTCTGTCAACAGTGGGCCTCATATATAAGATGGACCCCTATAGCTATGCCATGTAGTTAATCTAAGCCATATCATCTGGGTTTGAAACTGCTTAATGGCTCATTTCTCAGCATCCATCCCTGTCATTAAGAGATACATTCTTATACAGAAACATATACATGTATGTGTAAAGTAAGTACATATAAAGTATATAATTGCATATATATATAATAAAACATTAAAGTTTTTGTTTATTTGGCTGCCTTATCACATATCATCTGATGTGCAGGGAGTACTCCTGACTTGATGCTTGGAAGTTACTCCTCACAGTGTTATTGGACTATACAACATTTGTCATTAGACCTTTGTCATTAAACCTTTGTGTGGGACTCCAGCACATAAAGGATGAACTCTAGTCCTTTGTGCTATCCCCAGCCACAAAACCTCAAATGCTATTTTTGTTTCTATTAATGTCAACTGTAATGTAATCTGCAATTGTCAGAAGATTAACCCAAGCTATTTGAAAAAGCAAATTATTGTTTATTGATTTTCATCTTCGTTAAGGCCAAAGAGGGCGTGGTTAGATTTAGAGTATCAGAATTCAATCTCTTAGATTTTTTGCCTGAGTTTAGCTTTTGCATCTGTGTATTTATATTACTTTTAGCTCTGAGATTACTAAATTTGTGGCAGAAACTTCCCACCAGCAGTTCTAGTTGACCATCCAGGTAGAAATATAAATTATTCTTGTAACCTATACTTGCACCAAAAGACAATGGAATTTGATTGACAATGTATTGACCCAGATCATAAAATAAATTCTGAGCCATTATTCTATTCAGAGGAAATGGTCTTCTTAAAGGGTAGCTTGGGGCATATGCTGAAGAAACTGGAAGCTGAGATTTTCAACTTTAAGTACTCACAGAAATGAAGTTTAATAACTGTAAATTTTTTAAGGAAAAAGATTTCCTTTTTATACCTGAAGTCAGTAGAATGGGGCTTCCACAAAGATCAGTCATTATCAAGCCTTTGAATAATTAGCTTTAGTGAGGCTTTTATTTCAGTCAGAACATGAAAATTTTAGTTTTATTTTTCATTTTTTTACAAGAGTATGGGGCCAGAGCGATAGCATAGCAGGTAGGGTGTTTGCTTTGCACGCATCCGACCTGCTTTTGATTCCTCTGCCCCTCTCGGAGAGCCTGGGAAGCTACCGAAAGTATTCTGCCCGCATGGCAAAGCCAGGCAAATTCCCCATGACGTATTCGATATGCCAAACACAGTAACAAGTCTCACAATGGAGATGTTACTGGTGCCTGCTCGAGAAAATTGATGAACAACAGGAGGACAGTGACAGTGACAAGAGTTTGAATGTTTTATGCTTTATGTTTTATGTGTACATATGTTTTATGTTTTAGGTGTACAACGCTATACAACACACCTAGCACCAAAATATCAGTATTCCATCACCACTGTTTATAGTACTGTTTTCTTCTTGTTTGCTCCCTCTTTCCCTCATTAATCTCAATTTTGTTGTGAAAATTTTAGAAGTTACCATCAGAGGATGTAATTTATTCCATTGCTGTGTTTTCTTATGCTGCATGTATGAGTCAGATTGTTTTGTCTTTTTTCCTTCTGATTTATTTTTCTTCACTGGTCACCTTCTAGTTCCATCCATGTTATTGTAAGATATAAGATTTCATCTTTTCTTAAAGCTGAATACTATTCAATTATGTTATACATACACACATCTTGGGTATTTAAATAATGCTATAATGAACATAGATGCTCATAATTTCAGATAACCAGTGCTTTCACATATATATTTTTCATATATGTTTAATTTGTGGTTTTTAATTTGTTTGGGGGCAACACCTGTCATTGCACAGGGCTTTTGCCTGGCTCTGAGCTCAGAGATAACTTCCGGTGAGCTTGGGGGCCATATTGGGTGTCAGGGACACAACCAGGCCAGCCATGTGTAAGGCAAGTTCTTTCTGTATTTTTTCACTGGTTCCTAACTAATTTATTTTGATTACGCTTTTTATGATTTAAAATTAATTAAAATTTTAATTTTATATGATTTGTTTCATTTTCATTTCACATTTGAATATTTCATCTGCAATTAATAGAGTAGAAAATTAAAGTTAGAAATTTTTCAGAGCTATGGCATAAAGGGTGATGGCATGACAAATAAGAGTATCATCATTGTTTTATTTTTCCTCCTTCCTATTATTTAGACATTGTGGTTAGCAAAGCTTGTGATATCATATTTTGGGCATTCAGTGTTCCACATTGAAACCCAACACTAGTGTCAGCATCCCTTCACCAGTGACCCAAGTGTCCCTCCTTTTGTCTATCAATCTTTCTTAAATTCACTTAATTTTTTTAAAAAAATGTACTTTTTGAGTTGGAGCGATAGTACAGCAGGTAGGGCATCTGCCTTGCATGCAGAAGACCTAAATTCAATCCCTGATGTCCCATATCTCCCCTGAGGACTTCCAGGAGTAATTACTGAGTGCAGAGCCAGGAGTAACCCCTGAGCATTGACGGGTGTGACCCAAAAAAACAAAACAACAAAAAAAATGTACTTTTTAAAGTTTTTAAGTTTGTGTCACCACTTACATCAGTGTTGCATCTTAAAGATTTGATGTACATAGTTCACTCCCCTCTAAAGTACCAAATAAATGTTTCTTATTTGGTATAAAATATATTTTTAAATAGTATTGAACTGATGTCACTAATGAGGTCTTTAAGTTATTTGATCATTTTATTCTTCTTGGTCCTCTACCTTTACTTTCAATTTTTCTATTACTAGAGTACTACCCCATTCTAGCTTACCATTTCTTCATGCTTTTCCTGAGAGTTCATATTGTTAGCCAAGCCTTGGTTTTAAATATTTAGTATGAGTCATTAAACCAGAATACTGATTATAGTTAATGTATTTTTGTGCAACCTCAACCTAGTTTACATATTTATGAGCATGCTTATTTAAATGCAAAGTGGTAACTCTTACTGATAAGCAGACTAACACCCTGAATTTCTCCCTTTCTTTACTTTTCTCAGATAAGATTATCCTCACTAATGACTTGATTATCTTGAAATGAAGATCATTCCCTTCTAATCCATATTTATTGTTCAGCTAAAGTCTTGTTTCAGAAAGAGAAATTAATCCTGCCTTCCTCTAAAATAAAATTTTTCAGTTATGTCTATCATCTTAAGGACACAGTGCCAACAATATATATTCATAAGTTCTTGCACATTTGATTATTGCTTATTACTTGTGAAAGTAATATTTGACCGTTCCATCTAATTTCAGAGCTTCTCTATTCTGGTTTCTGAGTTGTAAGGTCATTTTTTTTTAACCTAGACAGAGAAGAGATAACAAAGTCAGGATATTTATTCCA